TTCATTTGAGCATACTTATATTTTTTTTTAATTTATAAGCGATAATACTAAAATACGTTCACTTTATCGGTACTCTCGACTTTGCCAAATATTACTAAATTCGGTATTCTAACATTTTTGGTATAACATTTATTTAATAATTAACACAACTATAGACGGGTAATTTTCAATTACATACATCATTTGTTCATAGATTTCACAGTTTTACTTAAACATGAATTATTTTCAAGATAATCTCTATTAAAAAAATCATTTAAGGTCCCACACACTGCCGCGGTAGCGGTGGCGTTAAATTTGTACACGTGTATTGTAATGGGAGTCCGTACACTGCAGCGGTAACTCAGTCGCGGTAATATATCGTCGCTGCGATATTTTTAAAAACCGCAGCATGCTTGATTTTACCACCACCGCGCAGCAGTATTTTCAATTAACTTATCAAATATACGCTAATACTATCTATGCTATATAATATATATGGTATATATTAGTCTAGACTTCGATTATTTCCTAGAAACTATTCAAGTTATAGTTTAATATATTATTTAACTTAAATAAAAATAAGTTATATAAAAATAATCAATACAATATTATATACATTTATATATATATATATATATATGTAATATATAAATATATTATGTTTATACTGGATAAAAATCGCCACCGCCAACGCCGCAATGTATTCAGGCTGCGATTTTAATATCGCCACCGCTACCGCCAACACTACCACGGCAGTGTGTGGGGACCTTTATTCACGGGAGTAGTTTTTCTTTTTTAATGCGTTGTGTTTTTAGTTTCCTATTTAAACTTCCACTCAAATGTACACGTTTAGACATTATATGTATGTTTAAATAATAAAAATAAATATATGGTTTAATTTCAAAAATGACTGGACACGAAAATAAAAATAAAAAGAATATAAAAGTAAATGTACATTGCAAATATAAGTAATAACGTCTAATGCTCCACACTCTCGCTGAGATGCCACGAAACATCACAAGCGCGAGAATGTAGTCGGTTCACTCGTGACACCTCGCCTCGCCTCGCCTCGTGCGCGCTCCGTTTGGTTTCAGTATTTTGGTCACGAGTCAAAAGAACACGAGACACGAGGCGAGGCGTACCAACTTTACCCTCACCTGAGCTCGCGAGTCCTCAGTTAACGAAACAAAAAGAAATCAAAAAAAATGTGCAAAAAAATGGTTGATTGGACAAACGAAAATTTGATTAAATTTGTGGAGTTATACTCATCGGAAGATGTTTTACGAAATCCAGAACATCGTAACCACAAAGAGGTGCTGTCTCGCTTCGCGTTAGTTCGACAAGAGTTTCGACGAGGCGATCTCGCGAGAGTGTGAGGCTAACAATATGTTTGTAAATAGACAACGACGTACGACGTACAAATCATAATAGATTAAACAAACAGATAATAGAACTGCAAAGCTTACATGATAGCGGCTGCTTTAGAAACCGTATTCTTAAAATAGATATACTGTAATTACTATTTACACTGTATAATGATAAATAATTTATCTTAATAACCGTCCGTTTGAAAAACCAGTGATGTTTATTATAAGTAACAATACAATACAATAACATACAAGATGGACGCTACTGCTGTACATTTTTTTTCGTTTCGTATTTCAGATCAAATTATTTTCTACATAAATATAATTAAAAAATAAATGTTCAGTATTTATTTTTATGTAATATTAAAGGTCAAGTGGCTCCTCCGACTTGGACGTACAATGGAGGCCCCAGCCTAAATACGCCACTGTGTTTTCATTCTTTATTTCGTTCGCGATACACTGTCATTCGCTTTATCAGTTTTACTGATAAATAAACGCGTAACTTCAAAATAATAACGCAAACATAATACAGATCATCAGAATTGCGTGACACGAAATATTGACGAGAAAAGCCAGGTATGGATATCACGGCTCTGCTGTCAATCGAACTGCTAACATTTTTTTTCCCGTAGATTTATTAACACCGTGTACCGTTGTCAAAACAGTATACAATGATCGTAGATAATATATCATAGACTGCGACGACGGCGGCGGCGACGGCGGTGGTGACGAGCCACGTCCGTAACGTTTTTCGGTCGCCACGGCTAAGCCCATGTATGCGGCATGCAGTAAACGCGCCTAAACGAGTTTCGCTTCGAAAGTGATTGAAAACGAACTGCGTGAGTGATTGCGAAGAAAAACAAAAATACATATTTTTTCTTCTTTTTTACTTAAGAGAAATTTACAACAATAGATACGCGTGTACAACAGAAAACAATAAGGAAATATGATGAACAACGTGTGACGAGTAGACGCGAGTGCAAAAGTCCTGGACGGATTTCAGCCGCGGACAGAACGAGGTAGGATGAACGTGTACCGGGTATGGCTCCTCGTTGGCCGTGTAACGTTGTTCACTCATTGGACGCGGTCCACGCGAGCGACGGTGCGTAGGCGGCTGCGCCACGATTACAACGGATGAACGACTGCCGCCCGCACCGTGTCGTTGTTTCGTCGCGCACACGAAAACGGTGCCGGATTGCCCATTAGGCATTAGAGCCTCATTCGTTTAAGGGGCCCTGTGAAAACGGAAAACTATTATTTTATTTATTATACTTGATAATACCTGTGTTTCATTTTCGAGTTTTTGGGACAAAATTCGTTATAAGATATACTTATATTAAGTTTTAGATGTTATACGCAGTGATAATAATATATTTATTAAAAAAAAAAAAATATAGAAATAATATAATTGTTTGCGCCGAGAGCATAAAATAATATTACGCGCGCCCAGACGCTGAGTTGTCGTGTACGCCGCCCTTTACGTACGATCGCGGCCGTACACTGTGTGTATGTGTGTATACGTGTGTATAGACCGGACAGTAGTGGTTGGGATCACCGCGCAAGCACTGTCCGACTATGTGGTGTGGTGGTGTGTGTAAGGTGTGTATACTTGTGTGTGTGTAACTTAAATTCTAAGATAACAAATAAAAAGAAATTCATAAAATGAATTGATTTTTCTTGCAAATAAAAACATTTAATAAATACGATTTTATCTATTAAATAATAGTTGGTTATTATCTAAGCTGTTTATTTTAATTATTGAATAGTAATATTATAGATGTGCATAAAAAATAATTTTGTAGGGCCCAAAATTGTAATTGCCCAGGGGTCCACAAATGTTTAATCCGGCACGAAAACATTTTGAACGTACTTCTGACGAGACGAGTATTTTTTTTTTCTCCTTTTGCCGTGTTAGGCGGACGAAAACGTAGATTTTGCACGCAGGACTTGTGTTCGCGCGGTACGCAGGTTATGCACTAGACCGTTATTACGCGATCGCTCGTCAGTGACGTTGCGTAAAAAACACAAAACAATAACCGTGTAGGACCGTATATGGTTTGAACGTTTTCTTTTTTCTTTCATTTCGATGCGAAACGTCTACTGGGATGCTTTGGTGATACGATGCTGTGATGCCGTTGACCGTCCAAAGTCCAATGATATGACGCCCTCTCACTCGTCGTTGCTGTTATCGTTGTCGTAGTTGTCGTAATTTATATATATATATTTATCGGTAAACGTAGCCCGAAATAATCACGGTACGTGTTATCTATTCTACTCTATGGCGTTGCCGTATCTACTACCCGTGTACCGGTCTCATAATATGAAAACTCATTGGTACATACATCTATGATCATCGTATGATTTCTTCTATAAAGTACTTCCGATCCTAAATGGATGCAGGATCCGCTCTTGCCGATGAGCCAACTGTTTTCTTTAAAAATTAATGATGTATGATATTTGCTATTATATTCCGCTATATTATTCGTGGTAATTGTCTACGGCTGATGAAGTAATGGTTCTTATTTTTTTTTCGAATTTTTGTCGAAGATGATCGAACGCAACAACAAGCGTGAACTCGTCAAAAAAACACAAAACGCAATTACTATATTGCGTACAGTACGCACGCGGGACTACGAGTGCGGATGTAGTGATGTTAGTGATGTAGTGCAAACAGTAATATAAGTTAGCACAGCAGCAGTAGTCGTAATCGCAGATGAGCGTATAATATACGGTTTTAGGTAATAAATCGTTATCTTAAGCTAACTTGGTATCATCTCGGATGAAATTATGTATATAGATATTTTATTGTTATTTTAACCATTTGTAAATTATATTCAAATAACCAAAAAAAAAAAAATAATTTTTTTTTCAAATAATTTTTTTTTTTTGTTTTCAAAGTTTTTTCTAGAATGTAATGAAAGTATAAAAATGTTTGTAATATACATTGTTATAGTTTTTAATGGGTTACAGATTAGAAATAATGAGGTTTAAAACATAAGGACCACCCTAATATATATAAATATATATACATGTGGTGTTTGGCTGATTTCGATTCGGCATAACCGACGCGAACAATATCGCGGTAGTTGCATTGTCTATTTTTACCTGGTCGAGGCACAGGGCCCATGTTTACATGCCGCCCCGGTTGTCACCAGCAAAGCGCATGTGTATACGGCGGCCCGATCATATGGGCTCGGCTGAAACATCACGAAACCGGACGATCACCCGTGAAGCAAACGTCAGATTAACTCGGGTACGAATCACGTGAACCGATGCGATATTATCGGCTTCTACGAAACTATTTTTTTCATTAAAATCGAATTATTTTTCATTCTTTTTTTCCACGGCAGAATCATGACCTATAAACCGTCCGTTAAACAATGAATGTTTGTTTAACAAAACAACGAACATCGGATCATATCGGATTTCTATGCAAGACACCATCTCCCCCACTTGTCGTCCCCCCGAAACTATCACTGGTAAAACTTGTCTTACACCTAGCGCTCTATCGGCGACGACTCCGCAGCCAGTCAGCCTTTCAATATCGTCTTCGCTGTTGACGCATTCAGTTTCACGCAGTCGTCGGCTCCTTGTCGTTTTCGCCTTTGCGCCATCTTGCCCGGTCGCCGTATCGCGTTTTTCCGGTCCCGCGTGCACACCCACGCGTTAATTAACGCCAGACCAATCGAAGAAAACGAAAAGCTACTTCTAGACATACGGAGCGCATCGAGTGAGTAATACTTTGTCGTTGCTTCAATTAGGTCTTGTCCTGCGCGGTCCGAACCTGACCATCACTGATTCGAATGAATTCATTCAAATCATTCGATTCGATTCAATAAATTGATTTGGTCAAATTGCTTCGGATATCACCTATTGTACATCATAATCGAATGACAAATGAATCGATTTTGAATAATCGGCATTATGCTATTATAGATTTAGAAATAAGTTAGTTGTTACCAAGAGCGTACCCAGGAATTTTGTATGGGCGGGGGAGGGTCGAACATTTTTATTTTATTTGATAGTGGGAAATTAAAATACACAATACACTATTATTATACTATTTACTACTAAATCGTTGAGTATGTGGATATTTCAATGGGGGGAGGTCCAGAACCTGAAAACCCCCTTTGGGTACGCCCTTGGTTGTTACTATTACAATAATTAATATAACATTTGGCAATTTAATTTTAAGGTAATGTTAAATACGCATATACTTGTAATCATTTTAAAAAATTATAAAAATATTGTCTGTTAGCTGTCTTATCAATAACAACGTCATAACAATTACACAAATTGAGTCGAAATTTTAGTTTACCAACGTGAATCAGGGAATTAAATAATGAATCATATTTATTGATAATGTTACAATATTAATGATGAATCGTAGTCGGTCGAGATTCAAATGAAGTCATGAACGAAATTATGTGAACGATTTGTTTTAACTTTCCGAATCTGAATCATTTCGTTCACCAAATTGATTCGTTCAAATTGAACGAACCGTTCGCGAACGACCCATTCCTTCTAAGATGCGATTCCTATGCGCGCGTCTGAAGTCGTGCGACCGTCGTTTTTAGCCGCGCGAGTTCTTGAAATTAATTATATGAACGATTCTTTCTAATTTTCTAAATCCAAATAATTTCGTTTACTAAATTGATTCGTTCAAATTGAACGAATCGTTCGCGAACGACCCTTCCCTTTCGCGACTGAGTCATGCGACCGTAGCGTGCGTCTACAGCCACGGGAGCAGTTGATTCGCGGTCGCACCATACGAATTACGATATCATCATCATTTAAATTAAAAACAAAAATGTCCGCCGAGACTTCGCAAATTTGTTTTCTTGTAAATAAAGTAATGCTAGTGATTGTTTTTTGAGACGTGTGACATCAACATGCTTTATTAAAAATAATTTATATTATACTTACTCGGTACGACTACAGTGGGCGCGCGCCAGGTCATAAATGTCGTTGATGACAATGTCATGCCGCGTCGTAACTCGTCGCCCATAAGTAGGGCTAGGATTTATATGCAATAAAAAATTGTATAATCTGCATTTCATTTACCAAAATATGCAAAAATATGCAAAAACAAATTTTTATTATTTCTAGAATTATTATTTATCATAACTTATTATTATTATATTAAATATTAGTATATTTGCAATTCAATTTTACTGATAAAACATTCCTTATAGCCGAGCCGATCTTTGAAAATATATTTAAAGCTTTAGGCCCGTTTTACAACCAAACGTTCAAACGTGCCATTTTTTAATTTTCATTGTTCACATGCCAATCGGTAAGGCCCATATGCACCCTCGTCAGCCCGTGCAAACCTCTAATAAGTATGTCTTAGTCCGGTCTCACACTAGAACCGACTATATGCGACTTTTGGTCGTATGTAGTCGGACGACTCCGCACGAACTTTCCCGACCTTAATAATGTAATTAGCGCTTTCATATTAAACCCGATTTTGTCATGCAATCACGCGCGTTTAACTGTATTACTGTATTACCTATGAATTGTTATGAAATAATATCCTTATTATTATTTTTTGCACGACGATTTGATTATGACTTCGACTGTATACATAGTATGTTATTTTTAAAACATGTACATCTACTTCATTGACAAGGAGTTTATGCCTTACATGAACAAGACAAAAATCCTTGCCCTCCTGAAATTTTTTATTTTGCATTTCTCGCCCTGATACTTCAATATTTTTGTCAACTTGATCAGTAGCAATAAATTGAATCGTCGATTTGTTTATTCAATATAGAACCATTCTTTAAGTAGGTAAATCATATTTTGTTCGACGTTTATGTAATCCTTTTTGTTTTTGTTCCGAGATCATACAAATTATGTTTGGCGTATCTGTAGGTCACTTATCAACTTTTGGTACTCCAAATACAAAGTTTTAATTAATTTTAAAATAGTCTGTTTTTTTCCTTCCGATAAAAATTTAAATTAAGATTTAAAAGTACATTTTTACCGTATTTTATTATTTCATTTTATAATTTTCTATAATTTATTAATACAAATAATTTTTGTGATAAAATGAATAAAAAATAAAATAAAATTTATTTTTTAAAACAAATGACAAGATGATATAACTATCAAATTTTTTTCTTTAACTATTATCGTTTATCTCCGTAGCCCTTCAAATACTTTACAATCAATAGTATTTTGGTAATATTTTAAACATTGTTTAAAATTTTGAAATGTATTTTAATTTATACCTATATGATTTTCAAAAATATTTTTATACAACAAAATAGCACATTTAATATATATATGTATATGTGTGTGTGTATTTTATATTTTAATTTTAAGCATATTTATATGGTACGCTTAACCCGAAACCTAGTTAATTTGTACTATTTACTATTTATGTGCATCAATATCGTAATAATATCACTTGCCTAGATTTAATAGTTTCTTTTGTTATAATTTTGAACTATTTGGATTTAAATTCAGCGTGTATTGGTTTTGATTAGTGTTAAAGGGTTATGAGAGTTAAGAGTGAAAAGTATATACTTTATATGGTCACAGGACATCGCAATTATGTGACTACATTACACATTTATAAAATAATAGTTCCGTAACACACTTATCGATCCCAAATAGCCGACAACTTACATAATCTAGCCATATTGTTTTTACAGTTCTTGATAATTTTGTTTTATTATTTGTTAGTAGTTAACAGTTAGTACTAACATAAGGGTTCGAATTGTTAATTCATAACAAAATATTATCGAGATTTCGACGTATACATTTTGTTATATGGAAAGAATCTATTGTTTAAGGGTCCGGGGTCCCTTAAAGTCAGTAAATATTTAGAGATCCCAGTTTTGTACACTTTAACCTCCTCTTTTCCCGCTGTTTATGTTATACAATATTTAATTATGTACTCGAGTGTAATATGAAAAAAATACTCGATTTACGTAGAATAGTCTATTTGAATGCGTTATTATGATAAAAAACGAAAAATCACTCGTTAAGTACTCGTTAGGACGGTTTGTCTTCGTTATGTGTAACGGCCAAGTCGTCGGAGACTGACGATGATGTTGGCGTGTCCATTTCAATGGTGAACTCATTCACTCCACTGCGTTGACGGTTACCACTCCGTCTCCTATTCTTCCGGTTTCTTCTCCTTCTACGCTTTCCTCTCCTGGCCTCTACTAATTCTATATCATCGTCGGTCGCTTCCGCGTCATCAACATCATTGCCTCCGCTTGTATTATGACGACGGCGACGATTACTTCTCCTACTTCTACTCCTGCTACTCTTTCGTCTTCTCCTAGCCGCAACTAATGGTACTTCAGAACCACCGTCTGTTGCTTCCGTGTCGTCATCGTCAGTGCTATCGCTAATGCTACGACGACGATGACGACGACGACGATTGCTTCTCCTGTTCCTACTTCTTCGGCTCATGCTCCTCCTATTCTTTCTTCTTCTCCTAGCCGCAACGATTGGTACTTCGGAACTACTGTCAGTTTCTTCCGCGTTATCATCGTCAGTGCCACTACTTTCATTACGACGACGGCGACGATTCCTTCTCCTACTTCTACTTCTGCTACTCTTTCCTCTTCTCCTAACCGCAGCTAATGGTACTTCGGAACCACCATCGGTTTCTTCCGCGTCATCATCGTCAGTGCCACTAATTGTATTACGACGACGGCGACGACTCCTCCTTCTGTTCTTACTTCTTCGGCTCCTGCTCCTCCTACTATTTCTTCTTCTCCTAGCTGCAATAAATGGTACTTCAGAACTACCATCGGTTGCTTCCGTATCATCATCATCAGTGCCACCGCTTATATTACGGCGACGGCGACGACTGCTCCTTCTGTTCTTACTTCTTCGGCTCCTGCTCCTCCTACTCTTTCTTTTTCTCCTAGCCTCAACTAATTCCACATCAAAAACACCATCAGTTGGTTCAGCGTCCATAATACGTAATTGTCTTTAGGTTTTGAAAAATCGAATATCAAACTGTCGGATAAATAACAAATAACTATTGATATAATACAATTTACTATATAAACAGCATTCGACTTATTGTTATTATTAGATATTTTATTTGGCTAGTCACATTAGTTAATGCTTATTCTGATAATAATAAGACATAGATTATTATTTGATATCTCATTTTTTCGATTAAAACCAATACTACGAGTATTTTGTTGTACAACGTATGTAAAGTAGGTAATACAAATTAATTTTTTTTTTTTTTTAATGAGCTAAATCCATATTTGTTATCTTTGATATCAAATATACTTTATGGTGAAGTAAATTGTAACTTCAAAATTGTTAAATACAAATTACACGAATAAAGATAAGTCGTAAGTCATAAATTATGTAGGTACAGTTGTACTTATATAATTTATGACTTACCTCTTAAGAGGTGTAGTCACGTAAATATGTAACATTTGTTCACTAAAATGTAATCTAAAAATATATATTTGGAATACTTTTTGTGAAGTATTTCATATGCATAGGGAATATTATTATCATAAAGTATTCGAATATGTATTTTCAATTTTTTTTCAAGTATTCGGAATACTTTTAAAAAGTATTTTTCCCGAGTCTGGTATTTGAATAATATTAATCATGTACAAATATAATAGTTGAAGATCAAAAAATGTGGATCTATGTTAATTTTTTTGGGACGAGTCAAATAGTATAACACTTGACGTTTTTAAATTAACATATGGTTCAAAAGTTAGCGTTTAATCGTTTGTAATTATTTTGAATTATTATCATTTCCAACACGTTTCTTGATAACAAATTATTTCATTAGTAGCACTCGAACCTGAATGGTTTTTTTTTTACCATCCTCTTTTTAACGTTTGTTGTTTTCGTTAATAAACATAAACACACTCATACACATACACTCACACACAAATTACGATCAAATTAAACCATGTAGATGATCTGGGAAAAATATTGAAAATATCGAACGGACTTGTGTTTAGGTGCAACAATAAAACGCTAGAACTGAATAAAATGTATTAGTACACTCAGTGGGGTACATAGGAGGGGGTCGGGTTAAAACCCCCCTCATGACCAAAAAAAAAAAGAAGAAAACTATGATATTATTAATGACGAGTAATATATTCGTAGTTTCATTGTTACGATTTGAACTTAAATAAACAACTATATAAATATTATAATAATTAAATAATTATATTGATAGATATTTGAAAAGTTTTGTTAACTTTGCTGTTTTTGTATTCCTATAGCTATTAATTTACTGCAATGTAAAAGTAAACTTTTAAAAAAGTTATATGAAATAATATCTATTTATAGATATTTATATAATATATATTTATCAGTGCAACTAAAAAAAAAAAATATAACCATTATTTTTGTTAAACCTCCCTCCCCAAAGCAAGATTGAATGTACGCCACTAAGTACACTCATTCTGTATTTATTACTAATAGGTATAAATATGAAATTTGTTAGTTGTTCTGAAAAGGTCCCATAACATGGTACACTGCTATCGGTTGAACAAATATTCGATAATTATTATTTAACATATGTTTTTTTTCTTTCTTTCTATTTTAGAAACATATTTCATCATAATGAGGAATTTAGACGAAATTTGTCCGAATTGGAGAATGTTGCCGCCACCCCCACCAGCAATACCGATACCAGACACCTCTAACACGGTCAGTGATGTAAGTTATATTATTTCTGATAAAGCTCATTACCTATGCTAACTGCATTAACGACCGGTATGCAAGTTCCTGGTGCCCAATTTAAAGTCTATCGATAACAGTCCAATATTCTTTATTCGCTAATTATTGTCTTAATTATTATTTAAAGGAGTACACAACACAAAAAATATGTTTTTTTTCATCTGAAATAATTAATTCCTAATTCTTAATTCTTAAAAGAATTACTACGTTTCTACTCACATTATTCAATAAGTAATGAGTAATAACTAATGAGCAATTGAAAAAAGACGCGTGACGTCATTGGGCCCTACTCATCATAATTGCCTAACTTATACATGTCAAATTTCCTTCCTTCACACAACGATTTACCAACCTAACATTTTATTTTTGAAATTTAATTTGCGTATGATTGTGTGGTTATATGTGCTTAAGACGATGCAATTATCAAAATTTTAATATGACGTTTAGTTTTTCAAATATTAAAAATCTTAAAAAAAAAAACATTTTTGTCATAGAGCGCGACATGGCGAACGGCAATCGAACTAGGAGTCCGCCGACTACCACTATACATTCTAGTTCTACGTATTTTACATACTAAACACGACATAGTACAAACGTTCAACCATATTTTAAAAATATAATTAATAATATTTAATTAAAAATATAGTTATATTTATGTATATTTATAAATGTGAGTGTAGTGTGTATAATCCGTAGAATTAGATTAGATGATTAAATAGTGGCGGTCGGTGAACCCGTTGTTCGATCTCCGCTGGCCATGACGCGTTGTATAACAAAAATGTCTCTTTTAAGATTTTTAATATTTGAAAAACTAAACGCCATATAGAAATGTTGATACTTGTATCGTCTGAAGCACATAAAGCAATTTTATATCGCCCTCCCACTTTCAAAGCATACGAGCCGCTACTGGTAAATCGTTGTGTGAAGCGAGGAACTTTTACAAGTATAAGATAGGCAATCACGACGAGTAAGGCCCAGTTGCGTCAAACGGCTATTCTACATTTCTCAATATCTCTTAGAATGATAATTTTTTTTAAATCAGATTTTCACCAAACCATTTCATATAGCCGTAGCAACAATAATTTAACATTTAAAAAAAATTAAAAAATTTTTTTTTGTTCTGTGTGCTCCTTTAATATGAACCTTAATAAATTATGTTATGTTATATTATGTTTATATACATTATGTTTAGATCGAATCAAATGAATCAAATGAATCAAACGTTTATGATGAAAGTTGGTTGATAATACGTCAAAAGGAAAACTTCAAAAAAGTACACCGAAATAAGTACCTTAAGGTAAGTTAACGGAACTAGAAATGCTTATTCCTGTGAAGGTTATTATGAAAGTTGTGAGAGATAAAATTGAAATTCACAATTAATAATAGTCTGATTTTTCTTTACTTTTTATTAAAAAAAATGTTTACAATAAACTTTTAAAAAATGTATATATCTAATAAAAAAATTTAAAATTTCAGATGCGTAAAAAGATTTCGATGAAATCCTTTACAGAAAATCGAAAGAAAAAATCAAACAAAAAATTGTTGGTAAGTGATTTCATAGTAACGGTAACTATTCGACACTTGTTCCTCTGTATATAGCGAACAGTGGGTCATTATTATAGTTTTTAATGATGAAATTGAAGTTTATCGACAACAGTCTGATTTTTTAAATATCTTTCTTGAATCATACAATTTTAATTTTAATAATAATTAGTTTTTTCAATATTTTTCTAATATTTACAGAAGACTCAAGTATGGATCATGTCACGAATTAGAAACCCCTCCCAAGACACTGAGGTAAGTTACGGTTGCTGGCAATAGTCTTTATCTGTGTATAGATTTTTAGCCTGCATAAAAGTTTTAGATAACGTAATAATTACATTATATTGCGATATTTAAATTTTCTCTTTCCTCAGCTAAATAAATATTTTAAAAGTGAAATTAATAATTTTCTGTTTCAGAATAACTCCAACAATGGTGATTTGTAACTATTTAAACCTTTTTATTATAAATTGTAATTTTTTTTTTTCCTTTTAAATATATTTACTAAAATTAATTTCTTGATGACTATTTTTTTTAAATTAATTCTCCTATATCCAATTATACAAAGTTAGGCATATTAGACTAAATAAATATATATATTGCTATAGCAATTGGTCAGCGTTACTTCAAAGTATCAACACTTATTATAATGATTTATTGATTAAGAAACATATTTTCTAGGTAAAGGCAGCTATTGCATTTTGGTTCTGATATGATAGAAAAACAGTAAACCGAAAAAGTTTAGATAATAACTTAATAAATATTTTCACTTGATTAAGGGTTATCTAATTAATATTAAAACTCTGTTCAAATCTTACGGAAAATAATCAAATAAAAAAACTTAAAAAGTTCAATTATAGAGAATTCTTTAATACAAATATCGAGTTTAAACTGTAAGTATCTACTGTTAGCAAGTTAAAACCTTTTTCTTGTAAAAGATGTACATAGTAAAGTAGAAGTAAGTATGATTCATTAAATATAAAATGTCAAAGTATTTTTTTTATTTTTATTTTTTTGCAAGCATTAGAAAAATAATAAATTAACAAACTATTCTTGTACGTTTGCAAACTATTTACACGTTAATGAAAATTGGGATTAATTTAGTACATGTGATATACTGCTACATTTGGGATTTAGTGTAGTGTAATTCATAGTCGCCGCTAGAATACAAATAATTTTAATAGTATTTAAACACTATAATATATACATAATAATATACTACAATTGTATTTAAATGATAAATGTAGTGATACGAACACAAATTATATTGCAACGAATGCTAAAAAAAAATGTAACGACTATATAATCGAAAATATTGCTCAATGACGTAGATGGCTTTGTTTATTGTTCAAAAAATAATTTTTTATGTAACGATTAGAAAAATTAATTATTTAAATAAAGTTTAAAATAAATTAAAGTTTTTTTTATAATTTTTTTTTTTTTTTAATTGCTTTCTAGGGGTGTGCATATACCCTATTGCACCTCCCACTCTTATGATTACCATATTGTGGTCTTCAATAGTTCATTTTAGAGCTTGTATTTTAAAACCCAAGCTGAGCATAAGATCGACGTTTTTTTAAGTCTCTTTCGTATAATATATTTTATAAGACTTTATTAGACTATGTACTAGATGGTTAAACGCAATGTTTCATCGAGGTGTGCACAAAAAAAAAATTATGTATGGGTAAGAGAGAGAGAAATATCTGTTGGTTTGCACCCGAGACATTATACCGCTGCTGTTTTTTCGCACGAGCCATAGTAGGTATGTACATAATACGATATGAGTATATCTATTATTACTTTGAAAACATCGAAACTGCAGTAACTCTAAAATAACTTAAACGCGATGGTGTGTGTAAGTGTATGCAATATTTTTCGTTTGAAAAAACGTATAATAGTTTTATTGTGCAGAGTAAAAATAAAAATCAAAAACTTAAATTATTAAAATAGTTCAAAATGGCGGTCTGGCATAGAAGGTTCGGTTCATTGCATGGTTAGTTTTTGTTTTCAAACATATTTCATGATTAATTACTATTCATGGGGCACATTACTTGATATCATGGGCGTGTTCAGACTTTGGTGGCCGAGGGGGCACAACATGATTTTGTTGGAAGCACATTCTGCCGGGAGGGGGGGAGGCAGTGCCCATCCGGCCCCTCCCGTAAACACGCCTATACTTGACAATATAGAAATGGAAATCGGGGAGCACTCGTAACTCCACATGCAACATTGTCAATTTATAAAATATCATCGTAATTGCGGACACAGGATTTTCATTTATGTAAAAATAATATTAGTTTAAGACAGTGATATTTTCCCGGATGACCGTAAACTAAACATCGTTTAAATCTACATATAATGGTCTGAGAATCACACATAAAATGCAAATTTGAGTCATAAGAAAATATAATAATATGATCTAATTGGTGTTATGCTGTAGTGAATCATTCGTTTTTAATAGTAATCGGATTAGTATTATAATACCAATCTGATTAATATATTAATGTTAATTAATATTATAACATTAATATATTAATGTATTCTTGTACATATTTCAAATTCGTTCTCAAGAAATACTGTCTCTAATTAACTTGGTGCCATTACATGTCAATACTAATGCGGCTTACACATTATTGGCTATTTCAAGTTTCAACTTTGAAGCACAATCAGTATTACAACCTTTTAATTTATTCTATTATAAATAGTTTACTCAACAATCATTTTAGTGCCATTATTTATACATTAAAATAAAATAAAATTAAAATAATTTGATATTGTCACTGTTGATTACATTAATTTATCTTATGATTAATAACTACAAACTATAATCGTAATCGTTATCATTAATCAAATTACTATTTGCCCAACATTGCTAGTATGTACAAATAAGTAATGTAATCATCATTATTTCAGCTTGAAATAAATAAAATATAATGCATTTTAAATGAATATGTAATCTATAATTTAACGGAAATACGAATGAGTGATAAGAAAAATTAAAGAAAAACATATTAAAATATAACAATTTAAGACGAACGGACGCATATGATCATGTATATATTATTATTTGTTGTCAGTATCAGTACCAATGATCAGTAGTAATATCACGGTCAATGTTGAAAGTAATAAATTGGGCTTTTTGTCGGGTCCATACTCAGGTTAAAATCAAATAAAATACAAGCGTAATTTTCAAAACACAGACAGGTGTTAAAGAAGAACTATACAAAAGTCGATTGTAAGTGGATCCGGGGTTCATTAGGTTATATATAAAAAAAAAACACAAATATTAAGGATTCGTCTGATTTAATTATTACCAAAAATGCTACTTGTAAATTTTGAGCCTAAATTAAAGGAAAAATTTGGGACTCCCCCTCCTAAAAGTAAGTCTAAATATGCCCCTGATTATTATATTATATTTTTATATTACTTTTCAAGCCTTACAAATTTTTCTTATCAATAATCATTTTGCATCAATTTTTCTCATTGCTCATTTTATATTTTAAAACAAATTATTATAATAAGTATATATTTATTAATAGCATTTAGGGTGGTATCCTTAAATACTTTTTTAAAAAACTCTGCTAATTTATTAAAATATTAGATATTTTAATAAATTATCAGAGTTTTTTTTTTAAAATATTCCTCGTAGGTCATTATAGAGTATTTTTTGCCTTTCATTTAAACACAGATTTTTATGACTACTTCTATTCATCGAGTTTCGATCATCGTTTCAATCCTGTAAAACCATAATTACCAAGTGTATATATAGATGTGACAATAGAAACAATGACTCACAGATATTAGATTTCAATATTTCGATATTTAAAAGTTCAGTGCGTTTTATTTTTTCAGCTTTGTTGAAATGCAATCTACGGCTTTTCGCTTGCAGTTTTCACGTACAACTTGACGTTCTATAGTAGAGATAGGGATATCGGAATGATCATGCTTAGCGAGTCTTTGAATCAATACTTTTTTTTTCTGTGTCTATTAGAATACTTGCAGTACATTTATTATTTGAACACTTCCATTTCAATCGTGTGTCTTTAAGTTTCCGAATAAAATGATATTTATTATTATCTAATAGTACTAGTGAACCTCGTTCACTTCGTATAATTTTAATTTCATTATTTTCCATTACACGAATAGTAATTTAAAATTTTAATATATTATAATATTTAATATATTTTAATATAATATTTTATAAGCTGACGAATACTTCGTTGACGTTTGTGCGATGACTACAACGCCTATAAGTTATTCTCTCGTATATCTGGTATCTAAGTTATAAATAACATCCTATAAACGTATAACGGTATAACGTTCTTTATCGTTCGATAGCCGATTATGGTGCTCAAATTATCTTTCGATTACATTTGGCAACGTTGGAAAAAAAAATATCGAGCGTTCTCAATCGTGTTACCAAAAATAACGTTCTCGACCGTAATATTCTCAATCGTATTTTACCGATTTAATCAGACGTATACTTGTATGTGTAAATATTAATAATAATGTAATAACTGTAAAAACGATACGAAGACCGGAAACGGTAGCAGTGCTCGGTCGCGTATTAGGAATCTCAAGACGCTACAACGCGGTTCATTAATATCTGGTTTTCATTGGCCCAATTCAATTTTCGCGTGTGTTTCTAATATCGACATTAAATATATGATATTTATACGAATTTTAAAATATATTTAAATTAAATAATTAACAAAATAGCATCGAGTTTGAACTATTATATTGTATACTTGTACAGTGTATTATTTAAATGGTTTTATTTCAAGTTACGAAGTATTAAAACAGTTTGGTTATCAACGTATCTGCAACAAGTCAATAACGCTATAAGATTTCCGAAAATCATGTTTTACTTACTTGAAATGATGAACAAGTTAAATGTGCGCACAATCCTTTGAATACCTAATCAATGGTAAACTATGGTGACTGCAAGAATCGGATAAACACACATACCTTCGAACGAGTAATGCGTAATGTTAACAGTACGGCTGCGCGCGATGTAATTTATAAACAATAGCGCACATAGGGTTTTTTCTCGTAGTTCAATTTGTATACTTAACGAAATCCGATCGCAGAATCTTATGTGTTAAAATGTTATACGAGTATAATTTATTCATCTAGAGCGATGCGTGTCACAATTATTTTAGTCACTAATGCTGACCATTAGCGCGCAGCTGACGGCTCTCAGCACGAGTCGGTAGTAGGTATAGCGCGGAAATCGGTGTTCGCGCAAATAACACCATCGTACACTGTTAATTAATCCGCGTCTGATCACAGACAGCGGTGCGCGGGGTTACTTTCACCGAAGGAATGTTGCGAACGCGGAAAGGCGCCGACAACTGTACACCTTCAAACCCACGACACAAAAAAAATAAAGACCGCGGCGATGTTCTCGCAACCAGAAAAAAAGTACAAAAAAAAATAAAAATGA